CTCAATTTATAATACATGGTCACCAAGAAAAGAGCCCAGGAGAGTGATTTAAAATGTTTTGAGTTTGGCCCTAAAGGAAGCTGTGAACTGCATAGATAGATCAGAGGTGGTCTTGATTGCTGGGGAGGAAAAAGAGAATAGAAAAGATGGCCTGATGGCATCACAAGAAGAAGAAGGACTCTACCCTCTGCAGCCTCAAGATTGCAAAAGTGGAAGACTTTGCTTTGAGAAGAGAACCCCAGACCACCATGATCCCGCATGCTGGTGGCCTAAAGATTTGGTTCAGAGGCAATGGATCCCTATTGCCCAGAGAGAAGGAAGCCTAGTGCTGCTCCAGATGGCAGCAGATCCTAGTGTCATCCTCTTTTTGCCAGCTTTAGGTCAATGCAGAATGCAAGGGTTGTGGTGTCAGGAAGGCTTCCACTCAGATTTCAGAAGTTCTGGAAGGCCAGGCAATACCCCTGAGAGGGTACTGTGTGAAATTGTGAGTGTGAAGTTGAAGGTATAGTGGAGATCCCCACAGGTTGGACAAGCCAGGAATATAGATCATCACAGGGAAAACTGCAAAGAGGGAGCAGAGCCAGTCCAAGAAAGAAGCCATGGGAGCTACAACCACCAGATGTGCCATAGGAGCAGAGCCACACAAGCCTTCTGGAGTTCCCCACTTGCCACAGATTGCTTGGGATGCTGGAAATAGAAGTGTGGAATTTAATACTTGCCCTCCTAGATTTTGGTCTTCCTTTGGTCCTATTCCTTCCTATACCCATGTTTGTCAGTTTTGGAATGGAAATGTCTATCTGATGTTATTGATTATTGGATGTGTTTAACATTTTTTGAAGAGTATAGGGGCTTTCAGCTAAGAATTTGCCTTAAATTTCAGAGGAAACTTTGGACTCAGACTTTTCAGCAAAGGTGAAATTCATAGGATTTTAGTAACTCTTGGAGATGGACTAAATACCTTTTGCATAAAGGGATGTGCATGTGACTTTGGGGGTCCTAGGGTGGCATGTTACGTCTTGTGTTTAGATGTCCCCCAAAGCCTATTGCAGTAATAGGTGGGGCTTTTCCAGAGGTGGCTGGATCAGGGTGTGTGACACTAGAGTTGATTCATGTGGCAATGCTAGGACTGAGGGTACTAGGACGAAGGATGTGAATGCTCCCCACCTAAGTAGCCTGGATCTGATATAAGGAACAGAAAAGAGCTTGTCTCATCTCTTGTTAATTTGCTACTTTCTGCCCACCATGGACTGTTTCTTCTCTCTGATAGCTGTCTGCAGTGGCATTGTGCCTTGGAGTCAGCCAACTGTGCACTGAAACCTCTGCAAACTGAACTAAATAAACGTTTTCTCCCTTAGTTTGTGGGTGTCTGGTGTCTTGTCTCAGCCACAAGAAAAGTAACTAAGACTCTCCTCGAAAGGCCTCTGTGTTAATCCCAGGTGGCGCTATGGGGATGTGATCAGGTAGGGCTTCAGGTCATGGGCTGCCCCTGACGGGGATTGGAACATCACACCTCTTTTTGCTTCTCTTTTGCTTTTAGGTCATGAGATGAGCAGTTTTTTCCACCCTGCGCTTCCTGTCGCTGCCATCCAGCATGCCCAGCAGAGGCCCAAAGCAACAGTTTGGCTGATCTTGGACTGGAACCTCCAAAATGGTGGACAAAATAAACCTTTCAACTTTATAAGCTAACACGCTCACCCATATGGTGACAGTGAGAATGTCAACACACATGTGAAATGTGCAAGATGGTTAGTCAAGACTGCTCAGTTTTTTTACTTCTTGAGTCAATTTTGCTCAGTTATAGTTTTTCAAACACATTGTACTCTTCTTCTCAATTTTAAAATGTAGTGGCATAAAGTAAGATGTATTGGAGTTCTGCCATGAGTTCAAGGCCAACCTGAACAACATAGTGAGACCCTGTCTCCAAAACAAACACACACACAAAAACAAAAATAATACAAAAGGAAACTCAGGGAATCCAGCAAATGTCCTCTGGCAGACACCGTTAATTGTAGCTTTTTCTAAACTTATCAGGACAACCAGAACAAACACAGTCCTCAGACGGGGTAGGAGTAGAGGCTTGGTGGCCTTGGTTTTCTGTCACCTTGTTCAGCACATTCTTGGGCTTAGTGGGCCAGCAGGTACCACCAGTGTTTAGAGGCTACCCTTGTGTATCAGACCCTCAGAGCCCTGGCATAGTCATCATGCATCATCTTGGGCCCCATCTTGGGTGCCGATTTTGTCAGCCTGCTTTATCTTGCCCTTTACTGATCCAAGCTGCCTCCCCCTCAGGCCTGAACTTTCCATTCCTGCCTGTTCTGCCCACTGCAATGCAGTCATCTTCCCAAGGCCCAGCCTCTGAGGGCTGAGGCTTTTGAGGAACATTTAGGACCTAAACCACAGCACTCCTTGTTCTCTGAGTCTTCTTTTATTTGTTTTTTATCATTCTCCCTTGTGTATTTGGGGGCTTCCCAACCATACGAATCCACCAGCGAACAAACTTTTAGCATTGGCAAGATTCTCCAGTGCATGCCTGCTTCCTATGCCATTCAATTTTCCCTTTAACATTTCATTCCTTCTCCTTTTATAGTTTGTTTTGCTGTTATTCTTCTTACATCTAGAGATGATTGAAGCTGCACTCAACGCTTAGTTCTTTTTCTTTTCTAATATACGTGCTGATAGCCCTGTGTTTCTTTCCAAACACTATAGCAGGTACATATAATAAAGACATGCTGTGTTTTCTTTAACATTTGGTTCAAAGTATTTTCTAATTTCCATTGTATTTCTTATTTGGCATGTGCGTTCTTTCGAAGTGTTCCTTTAAAAGTAAAGCACACATCTATCATATTCTGGCTCTCATTTTGTCATGTTTTCTAGCTTAATTACACTTTGGTCAGACAATCTTATCTCTCTACCATAACTTTGAGTTTTGTTGCAACTTGTTTCATAGCAAGTCTCAATATGAGATTCATTTTATAAATGCCATGTGTGGTTGCTCAACTGAGGTATAGTTTGTGTTGATGAGTACACAGTAGGGGTTTCAAGAGTACAATTCCTTACGTTTTGACAAGCACGTACACTGGCATTCCTGTAAAATTCTAGAAAATCCCAATCAGCCCAGAAATTTCCCTCATATCCCTTCCCAGGTGTTTTCATAACTACTCGCCCCACTCCCACCCCATCCCAGCAATTAGGCAACATTAGTTTGTTTTTCCTGTTCTAGAATTTCATACAAATGGAATCATACAGTGTGTAATAGTTTGTGTGTGGTTTCTTCCACAGAGCATGGTGGGTTTGAGCTGCATTTACTTTGCTGCCTGTGATGATAACTCACTTCTTTTCATTGCTGGGTGGCTTCCATGCTGTTGATTTCATTTTCTTGTACATTCGCCCAAGGAGTGGACACTTGCTTTGCTTCCAATTTGACTATTATCAACAGAGCTACTATGAACATTTTTAGGCAAGCCTTGTGTTGTTTTTTATGGCTCTGACACAAATACACAGGAGTGAAATTGCTGCTCCTGAGGAAGACGCATGTTTATCTTTCTAAGAGTCTGCCACACTTTTCCAAAGTCATTGTGCCATTTTCCATGCCCTCCAGCAATGCATAAGAGTTCCAGCTGCCCTACGTATGAGGTGTGATCGAAATGTATGGTGAATGCTTAAATTTGAAAATTTTTCTTACAGTGAAAGACACAATCTTTTAATTGTCCTTCAAATAGTCCCTCTGGTGTTGCTCAGTTGTGCTTGTTGTGCCTCAATGTCCTGAACTGCTTCAAAACATTTACTTTCATGATTCCTTTTGACTCTGGGGGGGAGCCAGAATTTGCACAGTGCCAGATTTGGTGAATAAGGTGGATGAGTACAACATAATGTTTTTATTTGACAGAACTTGCTGTATACATTGAGGCAGTCATAAAAATACACCCATGAACGAGGACACCAGAACCACTTCAAAAGGTTGCAGTACTTGAGGTTGATAGGATAAGTGTGTTCAAAGTCAGGGCGAGTATTTTGAAGAGAATTAGTGCAATGTTTTCAGATTTTTAATTTAATCACACCATATTTTTACCACATTATTTAACCAGTATTTGCTGCTATCAATCTTTTTATTTTCAGCCATCCTGGCCATTTTGTATGTGCTTTGAACAGATTCTGTATATTCTGCAGTAGTTCCATCGATGCCCACTAAGTACCTTGTGTTAAGCATTCCCAAATCGTCAGTATCCTTTATTGATCTTTCCCTCTCCCTCCTTCCCTCTCTTTGGTGGTGGGAATGGAACCCAGGCCTCACGCCTGCAGGCAACTGGTCTACCCCTGAGACATATCCTGAGTACTTTTATATATGTTTATCTTGTTGGTTCTATTATTTTCTATAGGCCACTATAAAATCACAATTTAAGAGTCAGAATTTGTTGAGTTTACTTTTAGTCGTTTTACCTTTTCATATATTTAAATACATTTTTCATATATTTCATATGTTAAAAGATACATAAAAATTCGACTCCTTATGCACAGACCCACAAATGCTAAACTTATAAGTATATTCTTGAATATAAAATCTCATGGGTACATTCCTCATTTGTGAACACCCAATAGCAATTCCTACTATTTTGAACCCCGAATCCCCTTTCCTCTGAGCCTGGGTCTCCCCTACTCATTCATTCTCCACCCACAGCACCAGACCCTGGGGCAGACAGAGCTTAAACATTCTTAACATTGAGTCAACAAGACAGAAATGATAATAGGTCACCAGAGCTGAGTAGTTAACCTCAGGAAGGAATTCCCGTGAATTCAGAACTTCCTGACTTGACTTTGGATAACGTGCACAAAGTTGGTTTCTCTCGACCTCACAGGGAAGAGCAGCTCCCTCTACAGCCTGTAGCCTCCTGGGGGAAACTTCCATTTCCCAGATAAGAAAACCAGGTCCTAAGAGGAAGAGCTATTTGCCAGGCTACCTTGAATGGGAAGGAAAGCAAGGATGGCACTTTGAACAGAAGCTGTGCTTTTCTTACACTTTATTTCTGAATCTTGGGCAAGAGGACTAAAGGGAAAAATCCCTGATGGCTGAGTAAATACTATGCCACTAGGGGGTCAGTGTGCAGGAAAAGATTGTAAGTGGGATTGGATTCTTGTGTCTGAGGGAGGAGGCCGGGCCTGGAACCCCAGATCTGAGGAAGGAGGCCATGCCTGGACTTCTGCATCTGAGGGAAGAGGCCAGGTTTGGAACCCCGTCTGAGGGAGGAGGTTGAGCCTGGACCCCAGGGTCTGAGAGAGGAAAGGTGGGACCTGCGTCCCTGTGTCCGAGGGAGAAATGACCTGAGGGTCTACCTCCAGTGAGGGAGGAGGGTCTGGAACCCAGAGTTCTGAATTCCTCCCTCAAGATCTATGTGGCGGTCAGCTTCACTGGTGTCAGTCCCCGTGGCTAACTGGTGTGGATGGTTCGCTGGATCCAGTCAGTGAATTTGCAGAGGTTGGTATAGACGCTCGGCGTACCTGGCTGGCCACACGGAACGTGTCCTAAAGACACGAGGCCCTGCAAGGACCTGTTGCAGACCAGGGGTCCCCCAGAGTCACCCTGTTTTGCAGGGAGAGAATCAGAATCCAAAATCACTGAGGTGGTAAATGGGGATCAGAGAGGCACCAAAGAGAAAATCTTTAACACCCTCCAGACATCCCAGGCCAGACCCTGACCTCTCTGGCTCTGCTCCCCGGCACCCTTACAGCTGTGGCTTTCTTTGGGTTTGTTCTTGGTCTGTGTCTGCCTGTCCTTTGTCACTGAGTGTCCCTGAGCATTCAAGGTGATCAAAACCGTGGTGAATGCTGCTGTTGAGTGCCATCCAACAGAAAGGCAGATTCCTAAGACATGACAGTGTGTCCTCATCCACCCATTCCCCTGGTCTGGGCCTGTGAAGCTTCTGCCTCTTCTCCGCATTCAAAATGACCATGGAAGGTAAATGTTTTGAGACAGCCATGACACTCAGGAAAGAGGACTTCCAGAGCTGCTCCACAAAGTGGCAAGAACATGAGATAAGTGTGTTGGAAGAAGCGAGGAGGAGCATTTTGAGGAGGATTAAAGGCAATGCGTCTTTTAATGTAATAATTTTTAAAAATTTTAACTATTCACTCTGTTTTGACCACATCCTGTGTTTCTCCCAGGGATCTTGGTCTCTGTCTCTCTGTCTCTCTGTGTCTGTGTTTCTCCATGTCTTTATCTGTGTCTGTCTCTGTCGGTCTGTCTCTCTTCTCTTCCGCTTCCTCTGTGTCCTGTCTCTCTTTGTCTGTTCTCTGTCTCTCTGTTCGGGTTCTCACCGCGTGTTCCCGGTGTCCCCGTCCTACTTGTCCACACCCCCGACTCACGTGGCAGGAGTCCCTGCGGCTCGGTCCTCCGCCCGCACAGAACATGCTGTAGTGGTACACGGAGTCGTACACCTCGCTGCAGACCTCCTGGGGCGCCACGGAGACGTTCACGCACTGCAGCCGGCTGGGCAGTCCGCCTGGGTACAGAGGGGGTCAGCGGCCCGCGGGGGACAGAGCCCCGGGGCAGGGAAAGGGAGCGCGAGGGCGCCCGGAGGCTCACCGTTGGCCAGCCGACCCCAGCCGGAGACCAGGCACTCCTCCCCGGCCAGGGGGCACCTGGAGGCCACGCTGATGCTCCGGATGGTGCTGGACTCAGGCACCGCCTCTTTCAGCTTGATGAGCATGAGGTCGTTGGCGAAGGAGGGGTTGTCGTACTCCGGGTGCTGGATGGACAGGAGCGGCTCCAGGACCCGGCTGCCTGGCTCCTGGCTGGTCTCCAGGCTGTGCAGGCCCAGCCCCACGCTGTAGGAGCTGAGGACCGCGGGGCCGGTGAGGTCCGGGGCCCTGCTTGGTGTGCAGCCTGCTCCCGTTCCTGAGCCCTCCCCGCGCTAACAGCGGACCTGCAACCTCAGATCCCTGTGACTTCGAATCAGAGGGCTCGGGACCCCACCCCACCCCTGCAGCCTAGGCCGCCCCGAACCCCAGGCAGAGTCCGGACAGGCCGCGCCCGCACTCACTCCAGCAAGCAGTGCGCGGCCGACAGCACCCACTGCGGGTGCACCAGGACGCCCGAGCAGAACAGGTCGTTGTCCACGAGCAGCGCCGCCTGCCAGGGCTGCGAGTGCGGGGTGCAGTCCTCGCCATTGATGATGTGCCCGCCTAGGTAGGAGGAGCCTGGGGGCCGAACAGGGCTGGGGGCGGGTACGGGGCGTGGCCAGGGCTCTGGGGGCGGGGTTACAGTGTGGGGCCTGGCCAGGGCTTCGGGGGCGGGATCAAGGCCTGGGTGTCTTAAGCTTTCAGGGGGCGGCAAGGATTTGGGGACAGGATCAGGGCCTCTGGAGTGTGATCTCGGCTTGGCTTAGGCTCACGATGCCGGGCTGCGGGGGCGTGGCCCTTAGGGGCGTGGCCAGGGCTTCACAGGGGGAGCCAGACCTTTGGGGGCGGGGGCGGCGCTTTAGGGTGCTGACTGGGCTTTAGGCAAGGGGTCGGGAACCGGTCCAGGGCTGCTGGGGTCTCAGTGAAAGGGCACAGTTAGGGTCAAGCATAGTTGTGGCTCCCGGGGTAAACACAGGTTCTCTGGGATGAGTTAAGGTCTGGGAGCCTCGGGCACGTGACTTCCTAGCCAACCTAGACTGTCACACCTTACCACACCCAGCCAGGGCCTCTCTCTCTCTCT